GGGGAGCCCAAAAAGGCCCCCGCGCTTCTTACAGACCTATGTCAAACTTGCTCGGGCCCCGCGCCAGATGTGTCAAAAACACTTCAGCACCAGGCTGGTGTAAGCCAGGAGCTCAGAAAGAAAAAAAAAAAAAAAACGCTGCTCTTACAGACCAAATGTCAAACTTGCTCGGGCCCGGCGCCAAATTCGTCAATAACACTTCAACACCAGGCTGGTGTGAGCTGCGAACCAAAAAAAAACGTGTTTCTTACAAACCAATGTCACATTGCTTGGGCCCCGCGCCAGAAGTGTCAAAAACACTTCAACACGTACTGGGCTGGTGTGAGCCGCGAGCCCAAAAAGGCCCCCGCGCTTCTTACATACCAATGTCAAACTTGCTCGGGCCCGGCGCCAAATGCGTCAAAGACACTTCAACACCACGACGGCGTGAGCCGGGGGCCCAGAAAGGCCCCCGCGCTTCTTACAGACCAATGTCAAACTTGCTCGGGCCAACGCCAGATGTGACGAAATCGCTCCAACACCAGGCTGGTACGGGCCAGAAGCCCAAAAAGGTCCGGGCCCCGCGCCAAATGTGTCAAAAACACTTCAACACCACGCTGGTGTGCGCTGGGAGCCCAAAAAGGCCCCCGCGCTTCTCACAAACCTATGTCAAACTTGCTCGGGCGAACGCCAGATGTGTCAAAGACGCTTCAACACCAGGCTGGTGTGGGCCAGGAGCCCAGAAAGGCCCCCGAGCCTCTTGCAGACCAATGTCAAACTTGCTCGGGCTCCCGCGCCAGATGTGTCAAAAACACTTCATCGCCAGGCTGGTGTGAGCTGGGAGCCCCCCAAAAAAACCGCGCTTCTTACAGACCAGTGTCAATTTTGCTCGGGCCCGCGCCAAATGCGTCAAAGACACTCCAACACCAGGCTAGCGTGAGCCGGGAGCCCCCCAAAAAACCCGCGCTTCTTACAGACCAGTGTCAATTTTGCTCGGGCCCGCGCCAAATGCGTCAAAGAACACTCCAACACCAGGCTAGCGTGAGCCGGGGGCCCAAAAAGGCCACCGCGCTTCTTACAGACCAATGTCAAACTTGCTCGGGCTGGCGCCAAATGTGTCAAAAACACTTCAACACCACGCTGATGTGCGCCGGGAACCCAAAAAGGCTCCCGCACTTTTTGCATACCAATGTCAAACTTGCTCGGGCCCGCGCCAGATGTGTCAATAACACTTCAACAGCAGACTGGTGTGAGCCCCAACGCTTCTTACAGACCAATGTCAACTCTGCTCGGGCCCGCGCCAGATGCGTCAAAGACACGTCAACACCAGGCTAGCGTGAGCCGGGAGCCCAATAAGGCCACCGCGCTTCTTACTAACCAATATCAAACCTGCTCGGGTCCACGCCAGATGTGTCAAAAACACTTCTGGCGCCAAATGTGTCAACAACACTTAAACACCAGGCTGGTGTGAGCCAGGGGCCCAAAAAGGCTCCCGTGCTGATTACAAGCCAGTGTCAACTCTGCTAGGGCCCGCGCCAGATGTATCAAAAACACTTTAACAACAGACTGGTATGAGGCAGGGGCCCAAGAAGGCCCCCGCGCTTCTTACAAACCGATGTCAAACTTGCTCGGGCCCGCGCCAGATGCGTCAAAAACACTTCAACAGCAGGCTGGTGTGAGCCGGGGGCCCAAAAAGGCCCCCGCGCTTCTTACAGACCAATATCAAGCTTGCTCGGGCCCACGCCAGATGTGTCAAAAACACTTCAACACCAGGCTGGTGTGAGACGGGAGCGTAGCTGCACTGTGGGCGGCCACTCGATTCGGTCTTCCGATTCGACACGACACATTCTGTTCAGGCGTTCGCGCGCTAGTGTTTCTTGGTCCCACGCGTGTGTACTGTCCATTGCTGCGTTCGTTATGTAGGTGTCATACTTGAGGCGGCCTTGCAGACCAGCAGGTGTCACACGACAGTCGCCCGAATCATGAGGATGCGCGGTCCGGATGCAAAGGCCTTGGACGCACCTTTGATTATCCCGAATTGCTGGTAGACTGGGGCAGGGCTCGAATTTCGTCACGTATTCGACGAAGTCTGGATCCTACCCCGGCCGCCCATCGAGTTGCCCGAATCGTTGATCGGCGAGGGTGCAGTCAAGCCGTATCGTAAGGATGCGCGCTGAGGATGCACGGGCCTGGAAGGGCCACGTTGACGTTCTTCGAACGAGGTTGGCCAGTGAAAGTGGCCGAGGATGGACCGAGGAGGCAAAGATGCAAGGGTACCCTTAGGAATGCTGCCAATCCTTACTATGTGGATTGACCGTACCAAGTGTCACACTAATACCTGGGGAAATCGTACCAGTCTTGGGGGTCAACCGAATCCACTTTCGCAGAACACCATTTCGTGAAACCGAAACAAGGGCCAGACCCAGCGAGGGCGGGCCCGCAAACCTTGCGGCCGCAACAGCAATCGCTCGAGAGAGGGAGGAGAGGACGTGCAATTCGCGAATCGACTTGGCAGGGTGGGGATTCTATCAACCTCTGGCAATGGGTATACAGTAAGGCCCCGACCCAAACAAAGACCTTCCACAAGACACCCGACCCTGAGACCCCAGGACGTCCATTGATTTTTGGTGTGGGCACGTCACGCTTCCCATAGCAAAACCATCGAAACCCAAGCAACCCAGGGCATCCTGGAGGCAAGCGGGGTGTTTCTCGGCATGGGTTTCCACTCTAGCGCCACGATGTAAACACACAACTGTCCAGCGACCGCGCCGTCCTGAGTAGAGTAGGAGCCGCCCTCCATCCTCTACGCTCCTGGTCATGCCATTCGACAAAACTGGAGCGATACAGATATATATATATATATATATATACACATATATATATATATATATATATATAACTGCGCCGAAAACCAAAGGGATGCCGAAAACCCAGTGGGCGCAGAACACGAAAAGGAGGAACAAAAAAAGCCGAGCACAAAAAAGGCGCCGAAAGCCAACGATGCGCCGGAAACCAAAAAGGCGTCGAAAACCAACAGGACACGGAAAACCAAAGGGGCGCCGAAAACCAAGAGGGCGCCTAAAACCAGAGGGGCGCCAAACACACAAGGGGCGCCGAAAACCATAGGAGCGCGGAAAACCAAAGGTGCGCCGAAAACCAACGATGCGTCGAAAACCAAAAGGTTGCCGAAAGCCAGAAATGGGCGACGAAAACGAAAGGGGCGCCGAAAACGAAAGCGGCGCCGAAAATAATAAAGCTTCGAAAACAAAAACGACGCCGAAAACCCAAGGGACGCCGAAAACCGCAGGCGCGCCGAAAACCAAAGACGCGCCGATAACCAAAAGGGAGTCGAAAACCAAAAAGCGCCAAGAACCAAAGGCGCGCCGAAAGCCAAAAAGCCGCCGAAAACCAAGAGGGCGCCGAAAACCAAGAGGGCGCCGAAAACCAAAGGAGCGCTGGAACCCAAGAGGGCGCCGAAAACCAAGGATGCGCCGAAAATTACAGGGTGTGCTGAAAACCAAAAGGAGGATCGACAACCAGAGGATCGCCGAAAACCACAAGAGCGCCGAAAACCCCAGGAGCGCCGAAAACCACAGGAGCGCCGAAAACCAAAAGGGACGCCAAAAGCCTGGGCGCCGAGAACCAAAGAGGCGCCAGAAACCAAAAAGCGCCACGATTTCACAAGCGCGTGCGCCGAAAACCGGCTGGGCGCCGAAAGCCAAGGAAGAGAAGCGGCTTCGACGCCCCCCCCCCTTCAGCCAGGGCCCTCCAGCTGGGAGAGCCAACAGCAGAAGGAAGCGGGGGGGCAGCTTCGGAAGTCCCCCCCCTCCCCTTGTAAAGGGGAGTCCGGGCTGACCCCAGGGGAGGAGGGGGGGGGGGGCCCAGGCCCCGACAAGGAGGGGAGAGGGAAGGGGGGGTAGCTTCGGAAGCCCACCCCCTCTTTTCTGAGGGGGGGGTAGCTTGAAGCTGGGGCCCCCCTTTCCACGAGCGTGCTCTCTCAGACATGTATATGTAGATGGCCATTCCTTTTGAAAAAGGAGCTTCCCTCCATCCAGATGTGTGTCACAACACATTATTGAACTTCTGGCCGTATTGTCTGCAGGAGTTTCATGCGAGATCAACATGCATCTTTGGACGTCTATCACAACCAGTGCACGCGGTACTGATGTGAGAGCATGTTGCCCTTTACCTATATAAACTTCAGCCGCATGAGTGGCAAGATGGTCTCAAGCGAAACGCCCGGGCAGCCCTACCGACACGCTTGATGGTGCGACGAGGAGGATATATTCATGAGGAAGAGGGACACAGTAGGAGAGGCAGCAGGGGGAGGAGAGGGACGGAGGAGGAGGAGAGGGACGGAGGAGGAGGAGGAGGAGGAGGAGGAGAGGGACGGAGGAGGAGGAGGAGGAGGAGGAGGAGGAGCACGACAAGGATCAGAAGGAGGAAGAAAGAGAGGGGCGAGGAGGAGGTGGAGGAAGGGAGGAGAAGAGAGAGCGAGCGACGGACTTAGAGTAGGCGGGATGAAGGGAAGGAGGATGGAAAGCGGAGGGAGGAAGACGAGGAGGGAGGTAGGGGGAATGAAGGGAGGGAGGGAAAGAAAACGATGGATGGGGAGCAGGAGGGAGTTGAGGAGGGAAGGAGGCGGAGGAGGAGGACGACGACGACGAGGAGTTGGAGTTGGAGTGCAAAGAGGATGAGGAGGAGGAGGAAGAAGACGAGGAGGAGGAGTTGGAGTTGGAAGAAGAGGAGGAGGAGGAAGAGGAGGAGGAGAAACAGGAGGAGAGAGGAGGAGAGAGGAGGAACAGGAGATAAGGTGGATGATGAGGATGAGCAAGGGAAGGGTGGGGGAAGGGCATGGGGAGTGGCAAGATCCGAATGGCAGTGGGAAATTCCTACACACATGAAACAACTTTACATGCTGCTCAATCTCTCCGCGGGTCGCGTGAGGACATGTGGGTCCGTGCGGCTCGACGGGCGACGCGACGATTGACTGCTGCCTGCTTGCCAGCCAGACCAGCCGTTCACAACTTGGACGCGGTGGCCGCGCTCAGGACGGCGGCAAACGTGTCCTGGGCGGACTCGGGGTGGTCCGACTCAGCGAAGCTCGTGATCTTGTTCATAGCGCCCGCCACGTCCTCTGGCCCGAAGCTGCCGGCCAGGAACGCGCCCTTGGAGCGCTCCCAACGCACCTTGGCGAACCAGCCGCCGCCGGCCTCGATTACCTCCCCGTTCGCGCTGGAGCCCTCGTGACAGAGGCACAGCACCAGCGGCGCGACACACTCTGGTCGGATGTTGCTAGAAGTGGTCCTGGCCCAAGGTGTCCCCGAATCTTCGCGCCATTCTCTGAGGTGTGTTTTGGGAGCCATCGGGGCCTCCCAGGGGATCCTGGGGACCCCCCCGCCTCCCCCCCTCCACAATTACTCAACAATAACTCAATATGAATGCTAATCTCCCTCTTCCCCTGATGGCGTGCTGGGAGTGGCCGACCGCACCCCCGCGTACTGTTTTTTACACACAGGATTCCCGGGAGTTGGGTTTTCGCCTGCGTTTTTTTCTTCAAAATGCTGCTCTCGCTGAGGCGCCGGCTTCATTTCTGCTCCCGAATCGTTCCGGATCGTGCTCCCGCTGCAGCGTGGGCCTCATTTTCGGATCGGTGTTTGGCCTCCGTCGTTCAGGATGGCGTTCTCGCCCCAGCGCGGGCCTCTTTCTCGCGCGCCCATCCGCCCGCCACCACCGCGCCGCACCACCACCACCACCACCACCACCACCACCACCAGCACCAGCACCAGCACCAGCACCAGCACCAGCACCAGCACCAGCACCAGCACCAGCACCAGCACCAGCACCAGCACCAGCACCAGCACCAGCACCAGCACCAGCACCAGCACCAGCACCAGCACCAGCACCAGCACCAGCACCAGCACCAGCACCAGCACCAGCACCAGCACCAGCACCAGCACCAGCACCAGCACCAGCACCAGCACCACCACAACCACGCACACACGCACGCACGCACGCACGCACGCGCACCACCACCCACTACGCACGCGCGCGCGGAGCCACAGGTCCGCTACGACACGCGTCCGCGGATAGAGAAAATCAGCGCCATGGTAAGGGATGGGAGGGAGGGGTAGGACGTCAGATATGACGCGAGCGCACCTAGCTTGATATGAATACGACTCTCCCTCTTCCCGTTGATGACTGGGGAATATTCGCCCCTCCCCCCCCCGCGTACTGTTTTTTACACACAAGTTTCCCCGGAGTTGGGTTTTCGCCTGCAATTTTTCCCAAAATGCTGCTCTCGCTAAGGCGCCGGCCTCATTTTTGAGCCCCGCTCGTTCCGAATCGTGTTTCCGCTGCAGCGCTGGCATCATTTCCGCCGGCGCCCGGGCTGCACGCCCGAGCCGGCGCCCAGGCCGGCGCCCGGGCCAGGTCCGGAGCAGGTTCCAATCGGCGCCGGAAAATCGAGTTCCGAGGCGGCGCCGAAAAAAAACCATTCCAATACACATTTTTCTTTTGAAAATGCTGAATTTCTTCTTCCGGCACCCTGGGAGGCTTCCCGGGCCGATTCCGACGCCCAGGCCGGCGCCCGAGCCGGCGCCTGGGCCGGACGCCCGAGCTGGCGCCCGGGCCGGCGCCCGGGCCGGGTCCGGAGCCGGTTCCGGCCGGCGCCGGAAAATCGAGTTCCGAGGCGGCGCCGAAAAAAGGCCATTCCAATATAATTATTTCTTTTGAAAATGCTGAATTTCTGCTTCTGGCGCCCGAAGCCTTCCCCGGAGTAGGTGTTCGCCTGCAGTTTTTCCCAAAATGCTGCTCTCGCTGAGGCGCCGGCCTCATTTTCGGGCCCCGCTCGTTCCGAATCGTGTTCCCGCTGCAGCGCTGGCTTCATTTCCGTGTTTCCGCTCGTTCCGAATCGTGCTCCCGCTGCAGCGCTGGCCTCATTTCCGCGCTTCCGCTTGTTTCGATTCGTGCTCCCGCTGCAGCGTTGGCGTCATTTCCCGTGCCACGCCACGGCATGCAATCCAATGCCAGGTTGATACTACGCTTCGCGGTGCTCTTCTACGCCATGCCATGCCGTGCTCTACAATGCATCGCGTACCCTTTCGGGATCATCGCCGTGCTTGACATCCGACTGTGCGAGTAGAGAGGGGATCTGCGCCATGGTAAGGGATGGGAAGGAAGGGTAGGATGTCATATATGACGCGAGCGCACCTGGCTTGCCACCCTCCCCCTCCCCCTCCCCCCCTCCCCCCCCCTCCCCCACTTCCCCCACCTCCCACCTCCCCCCCGGGCCAGGGGCACCCTTGGCAACGCCCGATCTGGCTGCAGGCTCTTCAGCACCTTTTCGGGCAGGACGGTCTCGGTCATCCGGGAGGCGGCTATCGGGCAGACGGCGTTGGAGAGGACGCCCCGCCTCGCGCCCTCGAGCGCGCAGGACCTCGTGAAGCCGAGGATGCCGCTCTTGGTGGTGGAATCCGCCCTGCTCGCTGGGGATGGCAAGAGGCCGTTTGCTTGTGCGAGGAAGAGGAGGAGGAGGAGGAGGAGGAGGAGGAGGAGGAGGAGGAGGAGGAGGGGGAGGAGGAGGAGGAGGAGGAGGAGGAGATCTCTCTTTGCGTTCTGGCCCTGACTGCCTCTCTGACGGCGATGCAATGCAGACGCATTCTTCTATAGCATCTTATGGGGATGAATGCCACATGCAATCCGACGGCGCACCTTCCGTCCGGGGGGTTCAGCCACCAGCGCAAGAATCCCCTCTCCGAAGGAAACCTGGTGTAGCAGGTTCGCCCACCCCGCCCCCCCGGCGACCGCAAAGGGGGAATGCGCAGACGCAACCAAACGTCCTGCAGAGCGACCCGCGTCCGCAAGCCGCACACCCGCCCTGCGTCCGCAGGGGGGCCCCGCGCCTGACCGGCGCCCGGCGGCCGCCGGGAGAGTCCTTCCGAGGGCCCTCCCTCACCAGGGCTCGCGCCCCTGCAACTTCCGGCACGCCCTCCTGGGCTGCACTCGGTGGCCCGGGTCATGCACTTCCAGATCATCGGCTTGTCGTCGAAGCCCTCGAAGATGCCGTTCGTGAGATCGTCGGCCCGGCTTGGCAGTTCAGATCTCCAGGGGCCCATTCGGAAACCAAGCCGGCACGTCGCGCCTCCAGCTGGGCCGACGGCTCCATCGCGACAATGTCCAACGGGAGCTTGGTTGACATGAACTTCTCCACGACCCTGGACGCCACCTGCGAGTCGGTGAGGCACGAAGCAATGCAGCGGCCATCCCAATTTGCCACGCCCTCCGGAACGAACATCATCAAACCGACCGTGGAAGCGAGGAGCTCCAAAGCCGAGATGCTGCGGAACGGGGCCCCCTTCGAGAACGCCCATGGGGCAGTTTGTTGGTCCAACTCCATGTAGAACCAACGGGCGCGCTTCGTCGACGGGGGAGCACCACCCTCGCCCGGCAGCGCGGCCTCCCAGCCTGCGACAGTCACCATGTCCCCGCTCGCCTTCGCACCCACGCGGAAAAAACACCACCTTGCGGTACCTCTCTGCGACAGGCATGGCCCACCTCCGCTGCAAGTTACCCCGCAAGGACCGGAAGATGAAGGCAACGAAGAGTGGGGGGCGCCCCATCGAAGACCTCTGGTGAACCGCGATGAAGCGGCACAGCGGCCCTAGCGAAAAGGCACGTCGTACCCGAGGGCGCCGCACAGGAATGCCATCCTCCCCAAGGCTTCCTCGCACTCGAGGATGCTGACGAAAGCATCCCTGACTACGCGGTCGTACCCAGAAGTAATCCAGGCGGCTCTCGCCTCCGATGTGCCGAGGGACCATATCTTTCCCGTGGCGTCAGGCTCGTAGCCGATCCAGGCTAGCCGCATGCCGCCGCCGGACCTCTTCCAGCTCAGAGGGGCGCCCAACACCGGCAGGCAGAGCACGAGGCACGCGATCGCACGCGCGAAACCGGCGCCTTGGACCATGGCGCACCAATCAGCGAAAAGGGCGAACCGCAACTCATGCAAATCGCCTGCGAGAGTGCGGACCCCTACGCGGCGCAATGCTGCAGCAAGCCGGCCCCGCCAATACGCCGCCGAGCTCGCGCCGAAGGTCCCGACGGCATTGACGTAGACGTCTCTACCCTCCTCTGCCCTGCAGCACTGGCACGCTCAATCTTCTTCTCGAACGGCTACCGCGCGGCGCGCGTCCGCGACGTCGAGCTCCACGCGGTGCGCCAAGGATCCTTCATCCTGCGCCGCGCGGAGGAACCTCTTGACGCCCCGGGCCTTCGGGAAGGGGATCTTGTCGCGGACCTTGATGCGGCGGTTCAAATCGACCCCGTGCGCGGCGTCGAAAAGCAAACGGGACGATGCGCTGCCATCCTCGGACTTCGACTGCGCCTGGGCGCCGAGCGATGCGATCGCGAGGCGATGCCCGAACCTGCGACGCGTCTCCTCCAGGGAGATCCGGAAGGCCAACTTGTTCCGGGCGGCCCCCTCCCTGAGCTCCGCGACGCGGCGGGCAGACTGGTGATTGCCTCGGTCCTTGGGCGAGGCGGAGAAGGCATTGACCTCGTGTGCGTCCTCGGCCCTCTGCGGCACGAGCGGCCATCGCGTCTTCGGCTCGAAGACCTGGGGCGTTCGTGGCAAGACGTGCCCGGCGCCTATCAGGGCCCACCTGGCGAACGCGCCCATGACGTCGGCGCCTGGGTCGCCAGCAGCCCGCGTGAGACCTTGACGAAGTCACACGTCGATAGGCTGATCGCGATCTTGAGCAGACCTCTCCATGAAGAAACCTGCCTCATCCAGGATGCTCCTGACGTGGCGTCTCATTGACAGAACGCGCGCCTCCTCAAAAAGCGTGGCATCGGTGCCAGCCACAAGTCTTCGCAGCAGATGCTTCAGCCCGCTCAGGAGCGACGCCGCCGCGTAATCCACGTCCTTCTCGATTGCAACCTTCACGCTCTTCAAACAGCCCTCGGGCCCCGGCTGGCACCTCAGCGACCACCACACACGACTCGCGTCTGCAAGCCGCCCGACGCGCGCCAGCATGGGCCCCGTAATTTTTTCTCGGCCGAAAATCACCTGGACACCAATGCCCGCGCGCCGCTGTGCACAAAAAACATCCGAGTGCCGCAATGCGCCGGAGCCTTGGAGGAGAGACAGGAGGCCTATGAAGCATCGGCGAGGGCGCTCCTCGTCCGAAGAGCCGGCTGCCGACGACACCTGCGCCTCGTCCTCGTCCTCCGCGGGGCGCGCGTCCCCCTTCCAGCAAGAGCGGCAGAAATCGTGGCACTCCGAAGCGTCGGGGAGCAAGAGGCCCATCTCTTCGAAGTACAGTCCTTGAAATCCAAGCCCTGGGGCCCTGGGGCACGCGCTCGCGCAGCGCAGCCGCCGGAAGCCACTGCGGCCGATCAACGCGAAGTGGCCCTGGACGCTCTCGGGCAACTTGTGGGCGTAGACCCGCCCTCTCGTAGACGAGGGGCGCGGCGCGGCCAGGAACTCAGAATCTTGGCGTTTCATGGGCGGGGCCAGGGTCAGCAGCGACGGCAAAGAGGCGTCTCCTGGAAGACCCGGCTGCGGGCGCACATCGCTCACTGCCAGTGCCGTCCAAGATGCGCGCGTCCTTGATGGACAGGTCGGGTCGAAGTACCAGAGCCTCCTGATTTGTACCTTCACCGCCTGCTCGTCCATACCGTTGTCACGGAGCTTCTGGCCAAGGCCGCAAGAGTGTCCTCCTCGTCGAACACGTCCACCTTGCCCATGTTCTCGCGGATGACGTAGCTGACCTTATGCTGGATGGTTTCGACCCTGCGCCTGTGGACCCAGAAGTAGGCCTCGGAGCGGTCGCCCTGCCGGCGGCCCGAGGTGTCCACCCATTCCTTGTCGAAGCCCAGAAGCGTCGCAGCCCTAGGCAAGAACGCCCTCTCAGGGTGCTCCGTCCAGAACCCACGCCCTCCTCGTCGAGAATCATCCGGGGGGCTGCGTCCCAGCCGCTACCAAACTCGCAAGAGAGCCCTTGACAAGGCCGCGCACTCGTGGTACTTCACCTCCCTGTGCGCGACCCCCGTGTAGTCGACGGACGGGGCCGCGAGGAAGTAGTCTCGCTCCCCAGGGGCGTGGTGCGACCACAAATCCGCACCCACCGACAACCACATAGGCACCTCCAGGAAGGCCTCCGTAGAAATCGTGTACGGGAGGATTTCGTTGGACTTGTCCTTGCCGCTGGTTTTCGCCCGGACGAGCGTCGCGAAAAGACCTCGCTCAATGAAAGAGCTCTGGCCAAAAATCCCCTCCCCCCATGGTCATCAAAACGTAGTCCCCCAGAACTTGCACAGCTTGCAGAAGGCCAGCATGCGCTTGTAAACTTCGGCGGACTCGTCGATGACCACGCGCTCGAGGGCGATGACGATGACCACAACTGGACGGGGTGCTTTATGACGAAACCCCGACGAAGGCATCTTTCCCTGCGCCATCGCCTCGAGGACGAAGTTCTTAACCAGGGGATCTGATGCGAGCATCTCCTGAGGGCGGACGCCGCCGCCTTTTTCAAGAAACCCGATCGCCTCGACCGCGGCTGTGAGAACCGTGCGCCTGCACGGCTCCTCCAAGCGCACCTGCAGGGACTCCAAAATGTCACCCGCATCCCGGGGCAAGGCGTAACCTTTCCGAGCCATCAAGAATGACCTCACCTTGAGGAGGTCGCGATATCTCTTCTCCAACGTTGTCGCCCGGCGGCCCTGGGCGACGTTGCGGAGAACAGTAAGTGGGGCGACTCAACCATTGGGCAACCGAGCTATCGGCAAGCCCGCTTCCAAGAAGAAATTGATTGGAAAGGACACGTACTTCTCCCGCTCCTGCTCAGCTGACTCCCGGCCTCGTGGGTCCAGTCTCATGGATCCTCGCCAGAGCTGGGGAGGGCCATGCCACGCGTGGCCTCGAACCCACTGGTGGCGTCGCTGCCAATGCCGTCGACGATAGATCCCTCACGACCTTGACCTGCTGGAGCCTCGCACGCTTGACATCCATGGCAATGTTGGCCTCGGTGTCTGGAAACGACGCCATGCGTCGGATGGGAGCCGCCTTAAGCTTCACAGCTGCGGCCCAAATAATAACGAAGTGCTCGGCCGAGGACTCTAACTCGCCGGGGGGCAAGCTGGGGACAAAGGACTTCACGAGCTCCACCGCCCCTGGGACGTCCCCGCCCTCCAACAAACCACTGACGATTTTTGGACGTCAGCTTCTGCGCTTGAGTGCGAGCGCAAACGCTTCCGCCTGGCGCCAGAAAGCCGCCCATGCCGCCAGCCAAGCCGTTGCTAGCGACTGGCAGGGCCCTGGCGTGACCTCAAGGGGGAAGGGCCCCGGCGTGACCTAGACAAAAACAATGACTCGGGCCAAACGCTGCAGCGTGCAGCGTGCCTGCACTGGTACGGGATCCCGATAGGACGAGTCCCCTGAGGGGAGGAGGAGGAGGAGGAGGAGGAGGAGGAGGAGGAAGAGGAGGAGGAGGAGGAGGAAAAGGAGGAGGAGGAGGAGGATGACGAGGAGGAGGAGGGGGAAGAGGAGGAGGACGAGGAGGAGGAGGACGAGGAGGAGGAGACGAGGAGGAGGAAGGAGGACGAGGAGGGACGAGGAGGAGGGAGGAGGAGGAGGAGGAGGAGGAGGAGGAGAAGGGGGGAGCGCGACCACAGATCTCTGCACAACTGGGCATCAGCAAGTGCGGAGCGAGGAGAAGGCGTGCGATTCAGATCGATGATCTCCTCACCTGGGTCCTCTTTTCGTCCTCCTCGTCCCTCCTCCCTCCTCCTCCTCCTCTCCTCGTCTCTCCTCCTCCTCCTCCTCCTCCTCCTCCTCCTCCTCCTCCTCCTCCTCCTCCTCCTCCTCCTCCTCCTCCTCCTCCCTCGGGGGACTCGTCCCTCACCCACTCCATGGGGGGCCTACGCAATGGCGTAAGCCTCTGAATAATTCACCTGACCATGAGAACCGTAAAGTCCATTCGCGGACGAGATGTTGACAATGCGGCCGAAGCCCTGTTTGATCATGTGAGGCCACGCGGCTTTGGTGCACTTGTACACCCCGCGCAGGTTCACCGTGTGCACGGTATCCCAATCCTTGTCAGTCATCTTAGACAACGTTACGTCTCTGATGATGCCGGCGTTGTTGACGAGTATATCAACAGAGCCGAATGCCTTCACAGCAGCGTCGATGATCTTATCGCCATTCTCGACGGAATCGTAGTTGGCGATGGCGGCTCCGCCCCTTGCGACGATTTCCGCCACCACATCGTCGGCAGCCTTCGAGCTGGATCCTGTGCCGCTCAAGCTGCCCCCGATGTCGTTGACCAACACTTTCGCCCCGCGCTCCGCGAAAGCGATGGCGTAGACCCTGCCCACCCCACCACCGCTGCCGGTCACCACAGCAACCTTGCCATCGAAGCGCAGTGACATTCGCCTACTGGCCCCCCAATGGTCTGGCGAGTCGGGATGTTTGAGCCTCTCCTCCCTCATCCCTTCTCCATCTCGTCCTCACCCTTACCCGTGTCCGCCTCCTCGTCCACCGAACTTATCCTTCACATCCGCTCTTCATCTTCCAATTCTTCCTCATCATTTTCATCGCCCGTTTAAACTGGATGGCTACTGCTATAGTTTTGGTGTCTCGATTCGTAGAACTGGCCATAGTGGTGTGGGGCATTTGACGTGGACATTGGCAAGTCGATCTGGGGGTGTGATCCTCCGAACTACACGAAGCAGGCCATCATCAAGTAAACCAAGCTGTCACAAGCCATGTCGCCTGTCAGCCATGACCCTCGGAAGTGCAACGTCTGCTAAACTGCGACGGCGCGCTAATATAGGTTGGTGCTGTCAACCCGAATCCAGGTGTCGTGCAGGGGCTAACGACGTGCGAGGAGGAGTGCGGCAAACACTATGGATTGAGCTTGAATTGGAGCAAAGTCGAAATCATGAGAAATCGCTCCAACGCGCACGTGGTGAACAGCGTCGGTGAGACCATCCGGGAGAAGGAGGCGCTGGTGTACATCGGGACCCAGCTTTCGTCAGATGGCCGCAGCGGTTCCGAGTTGAGCAGGAGAGTAGGCGCAGCAAAGCAAGATTTTAACGTGCTGAATTCGATTGGGTCCCACGCAATTCTGTCTCGGAGAAAGAAAGTGGATATGTTCAAGGCGCGTGTGGATTCAAAGCTGTGATATTGCATGATTGCTTCCTGTCTAAACCAGTCGGAGCGCAGAAGACTCGACGGTTTCAAAGCTAGGTGCTTGAGGAAGATATACCGGATACAACCCTCGTATTACAGCCGTGTATCCAACAGCACCGTCTTGAGCATGGCAGGAAAAAGTACATTGAACGAAGCCAATGCAGAACGACTGATGCTATTTTTAGGGATGCTCGCAAGGCGCCCTGGCAACGACCCGGTGCGCAGCTCCGTCCTCCAGCCTGGCGGCATTGAGCTCCGAATGCCGACAAGGACTCGCAAGAGAGGACGTCCCCGACAGATGTGGGGTAGCATGGTGATGAACAATTACATGAGGGTCGCTTGCTCCCACGACCGCCTGGTTGATTTCTTCCGGCCGGAGGCCGGTGCAGCCGCAGAGTGGGAGGAGGCAGCTGTCAGATCATGGCACAGTTCACGCATCGTGGCTCCCCTTCCCTTTCCTTCCCTCCTCCTCCTCCTCCTCCTCCTCCTCCTTTCTCACACGTTTTTAGCCACACATGCTTGCTTCTGGATGGAGTGCCGAAAGGCCCTGTCGCAGGCGCGGTCGTTTTTGTTTCACCTTGCTCGCGCGCCGTCTGGCGCAAGGCTTCTGACTGACTGACTGACTGCTGTTAAGGAATCGATGGGCACCAAATCTGAAACCTCGTGGGGACCAGTACTCCGTGCTCGACTGCGCCCGCCCCTCCGGGCAGTGGGCTCCGCCCAGGCCAAGGGGACCACGCTGGAGTACGAGGAAAATTTTGAGATCGCCCCCCCAGGCAACATGCGAAGTCCATCGGGATCCCGAGGTCTCGCCCACAAGAATACGTTTCTGAGTAGACGCCCCCTACGACAAGCTCGTGTCGTGACGACCCCAGCGTTGGTTTCTGACACCGCGTGGCTCGTTCAACCTTGAACGATCGGCGACTTTCGATCGCCCAATCGTTCCACATAGGCCGATTCTGGGCCACTGTCGGCGTTCAACTTTGAACGCTCGAGCCGGGGTCGCCGACGGTCGCCACGACGCGAACCTACCGTACTCTCGGGCCTCTGCCTCCGCGTCTTGTGTGCGGGGGGGGCGGGGAGGAGTGGTAGCGGCGACGACGGTGCTCCTTGTCTGCCCTTGCCCGAGCGGGTCGCGAGGCGCCCTGCGCAAGTGCTGCTCGCGAGCGTCAGGGGTAGCCTATGGCCACCACGCGCGCCCCGAGCCTCATCGAGTCGAGCTCGACACCCGTAGGCACCCACGACGGGTCACCAAGCCTGCAGGCAGGGTCCTCAAAGGAAGGGGGGAGCAAACGAGGCCAGGCACTGCACGATGTAAGGAAGGCCTGAAGGAGGGAGCGCAGACCCCCCACACCCGGGGTGGATGAGAAACCAGGCAATGTTCTGGAGCAGCCCATGAAAACCCAGAGGGAGAGAGGGAGGAGGAGGAGGAGGAGGAGGAGGAGGAGGAGCGAGCGAGCGAAACCCTGGGACCCTGTGTCCACAGCAAACCGAGGCCCTCTGCCCTAAACGGTTGGACCCCGCCCTCCCCAGTCGGCTTGGGTTTCCTCTCTCTCCCTGCCCCTGCCTCTGCTGCTCTCTCTCTCTCTCTCTCTCCCTTTCTCTCCCGCTCGAGCCTTCGGGGCTCAAAGCCCTCCCAGGGCCCACAGGTGCCCTCTTTTGCCCGCCCACCCTGGGCTTTGCCCCGGTGTCCGACGGCACCGGCGGCGAGGCCCGCTTTGCGTGGCGGAAAGAGGGGTCCGCCTGGCGCCCAGTTGGGCGCCGGCGGAAGGAGCGCGCGGCCAGCGCAGCGGCAAAAGTGACCGCCATCGCCAGCATCATCATCGTCTTCTGAGGGCCCGCATCTGACCGCTTCGCGGCTCGCATGTCCCGCGGCCTGACAGCAGGCCGCGCTTTCGCTAGCGCCGTACTGTGGGGGCGGGGTCCTCTGATTTCGTATGTGCCGCTGCCGTTTTGTCTCCAGAGCTTGCGCGGGCTGCCCAGCGGCCGGCCCCCCCTCGGACCGCGCGGCCGCCTTGTTGTGGCTGTGCGGGCCTTGCCTGCCGCGGCCCCAGCGCGCCCAAGAGGTCGTCGACCAAACCCATGTGCCAACCGCTGGGAACCCCAGCGGCCAAGCCGTCGGGGGAGGACATGGCTTCGATTTAACTCGGATGATATCATACACGAACTCGTTCCTGAGCCACCTGCGGAGGCTGAACCCCAGGTTGAGCCCAAAGGAAAGGCTCCTTTCGAAAAGCTACCCCGCCGGCCCAGCCGAGTGGGGATGCCGCCCCGCCGGCCAAGCCGGCAGGGGAAGTGGCTGATCCTTTTAGCCCGAGCGATGTCGCGATGAATGATGACATCGAAATGGAGGCTGGCGTAGAGATTCACGCAGAAGAGATCGCAGCTCGCAAAAGAGCTGCTGACGCTGCCACTAGCGACAACAAGCCTGCCAAGAGGACAGCTATCTCCTCGCAAGGGGACTACAATTCCCGCGAGGAGAAATCCATCTTCCGTTGCTTTCCTGACAAGAGAGAATGGTCCAGACCTAATTATGCCGGGGCTATCAAGTTCGTTCGCAAACGGGGATGGAGTTGGCGCTTCACGATGTGGAGACACAACATATTACACAGACGGGGCGACCAAGTCGCTACCGCACTGAAGGCAGATTTAGCCGACACATCCCAGACGATCTTTGAGCGTCTGTTTTCCCAAATCTCACAAGACCCGTGGACCGCCCATTGGACTGCATTCGACAGAATGGCAACGTGCCGTTTTGATTGTGCTCCCCCAAAACTTGACCAGATCCCAGTGGGTACGTTTTTTCAGTCGCACCCTGATGAAATGACGAAGCTGCTTTGCAGGTTGTATACACATGCACCAGGGGAGACTCGACGTCCCGTCCGAACCCTCGAAAAGGGAGAGGTTGTGGGTCCTACTGTTGGCCCAGCCATTCGGCGGAAGACGTTCTACGGAGACTTTGTGGGCGTCCCAGTAACGGACACCAAGGCAGAAGGTGCTCCCGATTTGTGGATGAACATCTGGGGCCCTTCACCACATACGCCTCCCCGTGGCGAAGCCATTGGGGACGGTTGGGGCACGATATATGCCCTGCCTGTTGTCAAAGGTCTGCCTCACACGCCAATGCATGTCGCTGAGGAAGCTCCCACTAAATCAGCCAGAGCAAATTATTTTGAGTTTTCCCCTCAGCAGGCGGTGCATTGGCGGAAATTTGCACCTCCGTGGACACGCTCATACGACTTCGACGCATGGCTTGCGAAGGATGGCCTTGATGGCGATGCTGACTTGAATGAAAAGCAGCCGCCTCAGCCAGACGCAGAGACTGAGGCCAACCAGCACGGCCCAGTCGTTGCCGGAGAGAGGCCAGATCTGCTTGAAAATTCCGAACAGCGACGCCCTGAGGCGCCCTCGGAAGGCCCTCCTGACCGGGCGCCGAAAAGGCCACGCTTGGGAGTGGAGATGCCGACCGACGCAGTCGGCTCGGCAAGCCGCCATGTGAACGTAGCCATCGCACAGCCTTCGGCCGGATGCGGCCCACAAAAGTCATTGGACAGTCCTGGTGCTGGTCGGCAGGCGGCCGGCGGAACATCCGCTGGGTCAGCCTCGAATCCGACTGCCCCGCCTGGCCAAGCCGGTGGCGGGGCGGGCGGTGGCCCTCCTCCCGGCCCAGCCGGCGGTGGAGGTGCTCCGTCTGGCCCAGGAGGCTCCCTCGGGAAGCGCCCCACCTTCCGGCAACCCCTCCGGGGCGGCGGTGGAGGTGGACCCCCAGATGCTGCGTCGACGATGGCGAGTGGCGAAGGTGATGACCCGCCCTATTTTGGGCGGGGCCCCTGGAACGTCCTCGACTATTATTGGGCAAAGGGAGAGTATGCTCCGAATCCCAGGCCACCGACGAATGACTGGGAAACTACGGTGAATGATATTCTCAGTCTTTACGTGGACCTTGCAGATTCCAAATTGAAAAACTGGGCAATAAAGTTGTCGTTCCTTCAGAAGTGCCAGGCCATAACACAGATTGCCCGACAGAACGGACACTCATGGATTCCATTTGTTGGCGAGGACGTTGCGGCCATAATGGCCACAGGCAAGTCTGTTAAGGACTTGTCCCACCCTTTGTGCTTGATGGGTCACGGGACATACAAGTTTTGGTCCTATTCCGTCCACATTGTCTCTGATTCCACGATCTCGTTTCGGAATGCGCCCAAGAAAGTCACGCCCAGCCTTCTTCCTGAATGCT